GTGAGATGAAAAAACAGCAACCAACTTCAGAATGCTATCATTCTGACACTCGTTTGACAGCGGTTAAAATGATTCCAATGACAGCTAATTATATTGTTTTGGTGGGAATTTTCCAGAAAAAAATTATTCGTAATGGAATTTAAGCGTGATAGTGTGATTTCTTTATATATGGCTGGAAAAAATGAGCTCGGGGTAAAGCCATTGAAATTCCAAAGGGTGCAAGAATATACACCGCAGCAGGAAGAAAATAGACTCAACAGAGCTAAATAGTTGCTTCGCTTGCCCGAAAGTGGTGTATTGCCGAATTTGGTTTTCTCCGAGGAGAAAACATTCGTTGTGCAGCAGTTTGTAAACAAACAAAATGATCGAGTTGGCCACCAGAACTCGAGCGCCGGCCATGGTGATGGTGTGGGCCGCCATAACAGTCGATGGTCGCATTCCGCTCTTATTAACCGACCGTGGCATCAGAATAAATGCCGAATATTATCGCGAAAATATTCTGGAGGGTATATTATAGCCTTGAGCACGCAAATATTTTGGCCGCAGACCTTGTACATTCCAACAGGATTCAACCCAGTAATATGTCAGTAAGTCACTTAGTCATTACAAAAGTAAGTACAAATGGCGTTATCTTCGTTCCGTCCAAACGTTTAACACCCGCCATAGTAATACATCGATTATATCCGAATCAGTTAAATTCAAAATCCGTATATTTCAAGGTTACCTATATATGAGAGATATGGCATAACATTAAAAATATGAAATATTTTTGTAGCTGGGAAATTTAAATTATCTAAAATTGGTCCAGAGAGATAAGAAAAATTATGAAGCAAATTTGGATTCAAACACCAAACTATAGCCAATTCGGTTAGAAATTGGGACTGAACGGTTCATAATACCAAATATTGAGAAGTACCGCCATATGGAGGTAATATTTCGAGTAAATACAAAAATCGATATTACCTCCTACTTGTGTTGAAGATATAACGAGCTCCTTATCAACCACAAATCCATTTTCTTCTACTCAAACATAAACAAAAGAAAAACAAATAAAATAATCAGCATTAAAGTAAACTCCTCCTGAAATAAATTCTAAGCATTGCCTCTGACGTCGGTTTTGCTTATATGCCAAGTCAATAGGATAATGAAAAAAGTTCGCAATCTATAGAGATTAAGGTAATCATTTAAATGGTCAAAGGATGTGGGAAGAAGATAGGAAGTACTTTATTTCTAGGGCGAAACAAGTAACAATAAGAAAACTTTACTCAATTTATTTTTAATGTTTGGGGATATTCGTTCGAGAAACGTGAGTGGGATTATCGTTAATGTGTGGGTAACATACAAGCGAAATTATATTAGGCCAAAGGATTTAGACCAGTGTTGTTTTGAACAAGGGCAATATATTAGGGGGATGTCCAAAGAAAGACATAAGATATGAAAGAATATGTTGCTGCTTTAAGACAATGATTTAAAATTAAGTACAAACTATTTTTTTTACAGAAAATGTAAAAGGGTATAAAAAAATTGTACGATACTATGAAAAAATTTAAAACTTATAGCATACTGATAATGCTCAGATTATGGTAATAATTGTTTCCAGCATAGGGAGGTGCGAAAATGAACACAATTCTTCATTTCTCTTCATAACTTTCCTAGAGTCCGACTTTTGTTTTAGATTTGGACGTCTAAATATTGGGTAATAAAATGCCTCCAATCGTCCGACAGCTGTTAAAATTATTCCAGTGACAGCTCATTATATTGTTTAGAAGCGTACAAAAGCATTTTAAAGAGAATTTTTCAGAAAAAAAGATATTCGTGATTGAATTTAAGCGTGATAGTGTGATTTCTTTATATTTGGCTGGGAAACACCAAGTGACTATCGTCAGAGCACTCACTACAGCATTTAAATGTGAATAAATCTTTTTTGTCTCGTACTATCGTTCCTTACCGTAATACTCGTAGAGTAGCCCAACGTCAAGGAAGTGGACGGAAGAAAACAGCAACATCGGCAAAAATGGTTCGAAAAGAAAAGAAGCGACTTAATCGAAACCCGCGTCACAGTGGACGAAAAATGGCTCGTAAGCTAAACATATCGCAATATTCCATTTGGCAAATATTGAAAAATGAACTCGAGGTAAAGCCATTGAAATTCCAAAATGTGCAAGAACTTACACCGCAACAGAAAGAAATTAGACTCAAAAGAGCTAAAGAGTTGCTTCGCTTGGCCGAAAGTGGTGGACTGCCGAATTTGGCATTCTCCGATGAAAAAAACATTCGTTGTCCAGTAAACAAAATGATGGCGTTTACTTGCCAAAGAGGCCAGCTCAAAATATGCACCTTCGGTTGGCCACCAGAACTCAAGTGCCGCCCATGGTGATGGTGTGGGCCGCCATAACAGCCGATTGTCGCTCTCCGCTCGTATTAATCGACCGTGGCATCAGAATAAATGCCGAATATTATTGTGAAAATATTCTGGAGGGTGTATTGAAGCCTTGGGCTCGCAAACATTTTGGACACAGACCTTGGTTATTCCAACAGGACTCAGCACCAACGCACTTAGCACGCGCCACCCAAGAATGGTTACAAAATGAGGTTCCTCGCCAGCCAAGTATGGTTACAAAATGAGATTCCTCACTTCATTTCCAGCGCACAATGACCACCAAAATCTCCGGATATCTATCCGTTGGGCTATTGTGTCTGGAGTATTTTGGAAAGCAAGGTTGGCACTAAAAAATACCAAAGTGTCGATCAACTCAAGCAAGCGCTTCACCGGGAATGGGCCAAAATACCGCAGAACAACATTCCGGCAGCGTGTGACGGTTTAATTGGCCGGTTGAAGACCATAATTCGTGCCAAAGTTGGCCAATTAGAACAAATCTAAACTTATTCTAAAATGTTATGCTATTTCCGACATTTTTTGCTTTCATTCAATAAAATTAAAAAAAAAATGTAAAAATTATGGCGTTTGACTTTGTTGCAATATTTTGATCTGTAATAGATGAAGTGAAATGCTTCGGTCCGCTATATATGGTATCTCATGCATATTTCCAAAAATTTACACATATCTCATATAAACTACAGGAAGTAGACGATATAGTCCAAATCTGGCACATTGTAATGTTAGTATCAGACGCCTTCGGAAACTCCCCATAAAGGGTCAATAGTTCGAACAATCATAACTCAAGGCTGGGGGTATACAGGGTTGCCCATATTCGACGGACCCATGACTCTATGGGCCCATTCCAATCGACGAGGCTTGTCCGCAGGCAACATTCTTTGCGTCAATTGAATTTTGTACGGGAACAAATGCAAATCAATGCGAATAATCCGTTGTAAAGTGGACCGAGCCATGCCCAACTGCTGAGAACGGCGTTTTTGGGATGTTCTTGGGGACCTCTCAACACTGGCTCGTACGGCAGCGATATTCTCGGCCGATCGCCTTGGTCGACTTTTATATGGCCTCTTCGGATTAGAAAGAGCCTTAACAGTCGAAAATTCTTCGTATAAACGCTTAATGGTGTTCTTAGAAGGCGCACTTCTGACATTTTTTAATGTTTTAAAAGCACGTTGAGTTTTCAGAATTGACTTCTTGTAAATTTCAACTATTTCAGAGCTCTCGCGTGGCGTGTTTTGGTTCATGGTAAAAATCTGCTTGGACTGACGCTTCAAACGCGGTATGTCATTAAGCGATGTGACATCTCTGTCAAAAGTTATGGCGTTGCCAGATGGGTCCGTCGAATATGGGCAACCCTGTACAACTCTCGGCAAAACCGACTGATATTATTTAATTTGTTAATTCGGAATTTAATTTGAAGTCCACCGGGCATAGTTTAAAGTTTACTTGATTATAGTAGATTTTTATTTAGACTAAAATACCTGTTTTAGAGTAAAGAAGTGTTTGATAATAAATCCATAAGTCCATCAAACGGATTTCTGATATTATAGCTCTTTGTTCAAAATGTAGCAAGTATTATTGCTGCAAACCCATAACTTTGGTTATCTAAAGTTTAAAGTAACTTCTTATTTATATGCGAATACAAACTTTCAACAATTATATATTATCTCAACTTTAATATCTCCTTACTACTGGTTGTATTTATAAAGAGATCATCTCTTAAAGACAAACTACGAAACTATTTTACAAGTATACTTGAACTAGGTCATTGGGTATTTTTCATTCGACAAATGTTTCAATTTTCTTTTCTAGACGCTTTAAACATTCGCACACAATGTTTAATTTTCAATATTAAAATTTTCGCAAAAAATAACCCCCTCGATGATGGTGAGTGAAAACTGTTGCTAATTTAAAAATAAAACAAAGAACAGACACAAAAACTGAATTATGAACAGTCTAATCATCGCAGCGTTTCTTTGAAGGATTTTACTGGATAAACACACTGTCACACACACACACTTAACAGCCATACATAACATGTTTAACCCATTTTCATGAGAAACCAATCAAGCCATTTTTGGCCGACCACCCTTCAGGGTCACATGCAGATGACAACGGACAGCACAAAAGGGCTGTGGTGAGTGACCAACATACAGACAATGTCGTGACCAGCCGCCACCGAGCTATGTCGCCTACATAGTCAGAGATGTTGTCGTCACCGATATCAGCCGAAAACCACCATCACCATCGTTACGTTATCGGTAGCATCACCATCATCGTCATCATGATTGTTCTGATATCAACAGCAGGAGCATTGTCATCGTCGTCGTCGTCGTCATCATCATTAACATTTTTATCATTGGCCTGAATTGTGTTACGGTGAAACAAGGATTACAATGATTTAACTCTTGTCCTGGTGGTCAATCTGCTTCTGCTTCCCCTCGCCCTCTTTATTCATTTTGTTATGTTTGCTAGTATTTTGGTAGGAGACACAAAGTGTGTGTGTGTGTGTCCACTAAAGTGAACGATAGTCTACATGAGTTTCTACTTCGTCATAAAAATCACAATAAGAGCAGCAGAGGAGAAGCGAGGGAAGTCAACTTACCTCAGTGGATCCTTTATATGTATGTAACGGTCTAAGGATATTGCACATAAATTCAGTATGGACGCCGTCGAGCACATCACATCAAAGGCAACCCATGTATCACAAAATTGTGCACCGAAAATCCAATAACCTGCAAATAAGAGCAGTAAAAGGGAATAAGAACAAAAACAACAACAACAAAAACATGAATACAGAAAAAACATACACAGAAACGTGATAATGTCAACAATTTGTTTTAAATATAGAAATGGGGTACTAAGGTATTAAATCGATGGGATGTAGAGAGGAATATAAGTTATAATTGGGAACTAAAGTATGTCACTCACACAACTACATTTAGGGAGATTGGTAATACTTTTTATACCCTACAACACTATGTGTTGGGGGTATTATAAGTTTGATTGGGCCAAAAATTATGTAACACCACGAAATATTGATTTCCCACATAGGAAAGTATATATGGATCTTCCTATCTCGCCGAGCTGAGTCGATCTAGCTATGTATGTCCGTCCGTCCGTCCGTCCGTCCGTCCGTCTGTCCGTCTGTCCGTCTTTCCATGTTAATTTGTAATCACTCTACAGGTCACAATTATGGTCCAATCCTCACGAAATTGAAAATGGAGGTGAGGTTAAGGTTAGAATAGAACCCTATTACTTTTGGAGATTATCGCATTATATTTAGGGGTTGAAATGGACCTGATTTTGCAGTTGCTCTACAAGTCGCAATTATGGACCAATCGAAGCGGAAGTTAGCATGGGGCTGGAGCTTAGGGGTGGCTAGAAGTCTTCTAAGTTTGATGATCATTGGGTAATATTTAGTGGGTGAAATAGATGAAATATTTGTGTTAAATAAAAGTCAAATTTTCCATTAAACCGCGAATATTTTTAATCCCGACGAAACCACAAATAGACGAACGGGTCACTTCTGACCGTTACGTCGATGCCGATAGTAAATATATCGGATATATAGCGAAATATATACGATATATATACAGAAATGAAGGGGATTTTAGCTAAAATGCTCATATCTCAAGAATGGCTGGACCGATTTGGACAAATTTTGTCAATTCACAATGCCCTCTTGGCATAAAAGTATAAAATATAAAAAAATCGCATAAAAAGATGTCAATAATAATGTTAATATAGGTTTTGTAGTATTTGTGACATATTTTTTTCATATTTTTTATCGCATGCGATTTTTTTTTTTAATTTGACTTATAATATTGAAATGTATATTTTTTAATATTTTTTCACCTTACAACACATGTTGGGGTTTTTATATGCAGATTGCAATAATCGCCCGATCCTCACAAAAATTTTCACAAGGGTAGGGTAAGGCTCAGAAGGGATAGGCCTATTGGTTTTAAAGATGTCCGCAATATATTTGGGGGTTGAAATGGACCAACAATTAAAAATGTTCCTTATTTTGCAGCCGAAATAGAAACCAAAGGACACGAGATCTCGCTTGAAGTTAGAGTTTAGGACAGCGAGTAGAATGGACTACTACTTTTGTGAAAAAAAATACTTACAGGCGATATCCGAAATACACAAAAGCCGAACTTCCAAATATTGCGACAAGCAAATCATACAGATGAGTCTAAGTTTAGAGATACACAGGCGCCTCTTGCTTTTGAGATAATCGCAAAATATTTAGAGGTTCAAATGAATCAAGAACAGAAAAAAATTCCTAATTACACAATTGAAGCCAATCGACACGCCTGAGAAGAGAGTTAAGGACAGGGAAGGATTCTAGCATTTTGGATGGAAAATGGACCACGACGACTAACAGTATGACGGAGTGCTTAAATATTGGGCAAATGTCTCTGGTCAGGTCAGTGCTCCGTGACATAATTTCAAAAGCGAAATCTTCCAAAATTGATATGGATATAAGGGGGCTTGTAACGTATTGCAGTGTTGTAGGGTATCACATGGTCGGCCCCGCACGACTATATTCTTTGCTTACGTGTTTTAATTTAAAGTTGAACCATATTAAAACTACATCCAATTGCGTCGTCGCAGATTGATGTTAAAGTAATTATTTTAGGGTTATTTTTTTTCAAATATCACCTTTACCCTTCATTTTTCTGATATACGCTATTTTGATAATTTTAGCCACATTTTACAATGAAATTGTCTGAAAAAAACACAAGGAGTTCCTTTTGAGTACTTCACCCACTGGAAGAGAATTTTCTTTGTAAATCTACGATATCGTATAGCCCCTTCCATATTTTGATGATTATAGCCAAAATTTTCAATAAAAGTGTCTAAAAATCCACAAAAGAACTTCCATCTGAGTACTACATGCCCTGGAAAATATTGTCTATATAGGTCCACGATATCATATAGCCCACATATAACGGTACCTCCTCCTCCACATTATGCGATATTTTGACGATTTTAGCGACATTATTCACCGGAGTTGTTTTCGTACAGGCCCCTATATCAGTACCTCCCTATATTCGGTATTTTGGTGATTTTAACTACATTGTTCACCGGATTTTTTTTAAGTTTCGTATTTGAATATTGTAATGGTATATGACAAAATTTGCCTATGCAGGTCCACGTCTTCGTATAGATACCAATATAATGGATATATCAGGTATTTTTAAAATGTTTAACAGAATTTTTGGCGAATATTATTTCTTTGAAAATTCCAAAATTCGTTCCAAATAGGGGGGGGTTTGCCGGCCGAACTTACTGCTTTTTTACTTGTTATTTATTTTTTTTGCAAGACTATGAGTGTTGAAATATTGGAACTTTTAAAGTTTTTAGAAGTCCTTCGTATAATATGGATGCTTAGATTTTTTTTTCAAAGTTTGTAAACTATTTTTAGAAAGACCTTCAGTGCTTTTATTTATTCTTATTATTTTTATCGTTCGGGGGATCCAAAGAGCCATAATTGTGGATTTTTAAGAATATGTGTTTAAAGTCTAACAGAAATATAATCATTTTATGGTGAATAATAATTTTGTGGGACTTGAATAAAGATCGTATATGGCAATAAAAGTTTACTCCTTCTTTATCTAGCAGGAAGCAATCCAATACAATCCTCGAATAGATTAAAATCCTTCTGATAACCTGAAAAGCTCAACTTTTTCAAAAAAAAAAAAAAAAAAAAATGTTTATCTCTTTAAATCTGTAGGGAATATGCGATATTATCAGTCTAAATAAAAAATTAAAAACCGGCTCAATTTTGGGTGAAAATGGGATGGAGAAAAAGTTCTGAAATTTTATATTTAGATTACTGATAATATCTGTATTTGAGATTTGCCGGTGTTTTACAAATGTGTCCGATATTTGTACGAAAAGTACTAAATTTTGTATTGGGTAAATGGATAGAACAGAAATCCTGAATCTTGATATATATGTCACTGTTTGTATCTGTGATTAAGATATGGAGGAGGGCTTGGAAATGTGTACTATAATTGTTCGAAAAGTACAAAGTAGTACAAATTGGATATTGAGTGGGGGGATGAAATTGGAATACCGAAACTTAACATAGAGGTCTCTGTTGGTATCTGGGACTGAGATATAGAGGTGGTTTTGGAAATATATAAAACTATATAACTATATATTCGAAAAGTACTAAATAGTACTAATTGAGGTTCAATGTTGGTGTCTAGTATGAAGAGATGTAGATTATTTTGTATATACGTACAAAATGTTACTGAATTTTGTATTGAGTGAAGGGATAGAATTAAAATTCTGAAATTTGATGTTGAAGTTGAATGTTGGTTTCTGGGGCTTACTTATAGAGATGTTGAAAAAGTGTTCGACAGAAAAATTGGATGTGGGTCCATAATCCCTTGGCTTTATAATATCCTCATCGGTAAACCGTAAAAGTCTGAAAACTTCGTAGGATGTAGTAAGTTTTGATGAAAAAAATGTTGTCAAACTGAACAATTTTTGCATTTTGAGTACTAAAGAGACCTAATACGAACTATTGGAACGAATCTAAATCGAAAATTAGAAAATCAAACATGTGATTTGATGATTCATTTTAGTAGTCTAAACATGTATCAAAATATCTTGAAGAAGGTCTACAGAAACTTTACCACAGGGTATAAATGGCCGGCCCTTTGCAAACTTGACTTATTTATTCAATACAAAAGTACACTCTTAAATTTAACATTTTCTCTGAATACGAACTTTTTGCCTTGCCTTTCGATTACGAAAATCAATTTATTGCTCTGTTCAAAAGTGACACCAGAATATATCCGCCATTTATGTCAATGGACATACACATATGCACACACACACACACATATATACAAATAACAATGCGGTCACCATTTTGAATGCATGTTGCAATATCTGCAAATATCAAATTGAAAGCTAACCAATATGTAAATATTGCCACAGACATAGATGAATGTGCGTTGGAAATCATTCAGGCCTCCACGAACAGCGTTCGATGAAGAGCTCTTTACAAAAACTACATATTTTTCTCTTGTAGTAAAGCCAACACTAGATTGGCAAGCCAACTGCCAGGACGGCAGTCTGGCGAACATAATATCAGCAGACAGTTGCAGTATTCTCTTGTATTACATGTCAGTTACAACAGCTGTCGTTTGCCACAGACATGGGGCTTGACAACCAATTTGTGGACGGTATTATTCACGGAAAATTATTATCGCACACAGACACACACACACACACACATGTGCAAATGGAGAGAAATTGGAAAATGAAATCATCGCGGCGAGAGGAATGAAACGAGAATTGGGTTTATCGAACTAATAGTTGAAGGAATATACAAAGTTGACCTGTTTTTATACCTTCCACCATATTATGGAGGGTATATTATTGATCAACGTAAAAAAGTCGATAAAGTCGATTTAGCGATGTCCGTTTGTATGTCAGACTGTCTGTCTGTTGTAATCACGCAAGGTTTTCACATAGCCCTCATATAACGGTACCTCCCGATATTCAGCATTTTGATAATTTTAGCGACATTATTCACCAGAATTGTTTCAAATATGGTATTTGGAATTCGAAATGTATTCCACTGCCTAAGACAGAACATTGTCTGTGCATGTCCACGTCTTCGTATAGCCCCCATATAACGGCCCAACATTCGGTATTTTGATGATTTTAGCGTCATTATTCACCGGAATTGTTTCAACTTTGA